TTTTATCTAGTGTCGTGGTTCATTCTTTGTGGGTCACAAAACATTAAGTGAGGGTCTCCAGATGACTTCCAGACATCAATTTAAATGCTAAATAAATAAATAAACAAATAAATAAATAAAAATGCTAATAGAATACTTTTATCATGATTACTGCAACTTTTTAAAATAATCATTAATGAGTAAAAAATAGTATGTTTAACAGAGTTATTAGCTAAATTTGCTACATAAACAAGTAATATCTGGGGTCAGGAGTGTCTGCAGCTGTTATTTTGTTGGTCGGAAGCAAAACAGTTTGAAAACCACTGATCTAGTGGATAAATGACACACATATGACCAACATGTCTGACAGCTTTCACTCTTAGCTGTTGATAATAATGTTGATCAATAATATCTAAAAAAAAACTCAATTAATGCTTATAAATTTAGCAAGTGCTAATCCACTAATAAATTAAGAAATTAGCAAAAGCCCTAAAGCACTAATCAGTAAATTATTTCCCCTATTAGTGCTTTAGTGCTTTAGGGGAACTGTGCCCACCACTGTTATGTAGTTAAATATAACTTATATTGATTTATCATCCTTAAACAGATCTAACCTGAACTAAATGCAGTTAATCCAGGCCACACCCAGTTTAATGCTACGATATAAGAACTATTATAAAAACACTGAATGATTTAAGGATTATCACACAGACTGACACTTATGTAAATAAATAAACGACAGATTTAGGTTTCATTGATGAAACGTCTTAAAAATATTTAGATCTGCACAATAAAACTGATTTATCTTTTTCCTCCTAATCTGGTTTATTCTTGATCTTTTATCTTCATCCGAGCAGCCAGAGGTGAACTCAGGTTCGTGGCGTCCTTGGACTCACCACTGTGGCCCAGTAAGGCAGCAGCAGGCGGTTGTCGTCCAGGATGAGGATGTGTGTTTGTGGGAAGGATGAGGAGCGCACGGCAGGACCCAAATCCAGAGCCACCCAGTCCCTCTGCTCCTCAGGGGTGAAACCCAGAGCCTGGAAGCTGCATGGGAACAAAGTGTCTCTTTCAGCATTTCAAAGCTAAAAAAGGCTTTAATTAGTGCAAGGGTGGTCCTGGAGGGCCGCAGACCTCCATGTTTTACATGTTTTACATGTTTTACATGTTTCCTGCTCCAACACACCTGATCCAGTCACTGAACCACCTCTTCATGTTCGGCAGTACGGAGGACCGACACTGACATAATTAGAAATAAAAGCAGAAATAGATAAATTAACTTTTAAATAAACACATTTAAAATGCACCAAATAAACTAAAAAGGAGAACTTTACCTCATGTTTTATCATTTAAATGACCTTTATATTTATTTTTCCAGCTTAGTTCAAATAAATTATATATTTTAAAACGTAATTTAAATTTTAATGTTTTTAATATGTATTTTACATAGTTTTTTTCCTTTTACTTGTACATATTTGTGTATCTTGAACGCTTAAATTGAATTATTCTCATAATTTTGTCCAACAAGTCTTTTTATTTCTTTGTGTTACGTTTGTGTTGCTGCAGTTTATTTAAAGTTTAGTTAAAATAAATGCACAGGTGATGTTTTCCTCCTTGCCTTTGTTTTAAACTAAACTTTAAACTTTTAGATAAACTGAGGCACAAGCTGCAGCACATAGAAATAAAAAGACTTGTTGGGAACAAAATATTAAAATAATCAAGTATAAACATTTAAGACACAAATGCATGTACAAGTAAAAGGAAACACAATTAATATATATTTAAAAAAACAGTAAAATTTAAATTATGTGTTCAAATATATAGACTAATTTCTTGGAACTAACCTGGAAAAATAAATATGAAAGTAAATTAAAATATAAAATAGGAGATAAAGTTCTCCTTTTTTATTTCTAATGATGTCAGTGTTGGTCCTCCGTACTGCAGAAGCCTGATAATCATCTATTCCTTCACATCAGGTGTGTTGGAGCAGAGAAACAGGTAACACATGCAGGACTGCGGCCCTCCAGGACCAGGACTGCCCATGTCTGGGTCGTATGAATCAGAGGAGACCTGTAGTTCGTTATTAGTCCAGCAGAGGGCTCATTTCCTGTCGTCAGCGCCCAGAAGGTGAGGTTATATTTAGCATATTCCTCCAGAAACCTGAGAGGGGATTTAAAGGACATTCAGAGCATTAATCTCAGCACCGTCTGATATGACTTGAAGGTAAAACGTCTCATTAATCACCTGATGTAGTACTGAGCCCAGGCTTTGTGCTCCTTGCCCCCCGGCTGACCCTTCAGAGAGCCTTTTCCTACGAGCGCACCGTTTGTCTTCATCCAGGCGGGGGCGCTCCAAGCGCTGGCCAGCAGGTGCAGGGGCTGAGGAGACATGGCCTGGGCTCGCTTCAGGAGAGGAATCTGAGACAAGAGGGACAGATGTGATGAGACACGACGAGACACGAGTGTTCCTGTCTTCAAGGACAAGGAGAGACCTTCATGTCCACGTCCTCCGGGGCCAAAGTGAAGTTGACCAGGTTGTAGTCGCCAGGTGTGTCTGCGTAGGTGTAGAGGCGCGTGGAGAAGTCGCAGCTGGCCATGGGGACGCGCACCACGCTGTAACCGATCCCTGTTGACCCACACAGAGTCCAAACAGAACCAGAGTCAGACATGTCCCATTAGAGCTCTGCAGGGACAAGAAGGTCCCTCAAGTTCCTCCAGCTGCACCTCTCAGACGGTAGCTGCACCAACATGCAGCTTTTTCAAAATGCACGGTAAAACTATCTCCCTAATGTAAAGAGAGTAAACTCAAATTATTACTTTTCTTGTCCAAAAGAAATTAAAGCTAAAGAAAAACCAGAGCAATAGCTTAAAATGCCAAAAGATGCAAAATGCCAGCTAAAAGCAATAAATGCTAACAGTAGAAAAATCATAGCTAACAGTACAAATACTAATAGTAGCAAAATGTAAGTTAAATGTACAAAAAAAAACTAGATGATACCTAGATGTAGCAAATGCTAGCTAAAGGAACAAAACACTGTCTAACAGATAGTAAAAATACTGATAGTAGCAAAATGTTAGCTAAAAGGAGGAAACAATAATAGTAAAACAAAATGCTAGTTGAAGGCTAATTGTACGAAAATGCGAGCTAAAACTTTAATGTATCAAAACACCAGCAAAAAGCTAAATGTAGCAAATGCTACTGAAAGGAACGAAACACTAATAGTTGTAAGTATTCTAGATGATAGTAGCAAAATGCTAGCTAATAGTTGGAAATGCTAATAGCAGCAAAATGTTAGTTAACTGTAGCTGACTGAACTGCAGCAAAACACTAGCAAAAAGCTAAATGTAGCAAAAGCGTTTGAAAGGAACAAAACACTGTTTAACAGATAGTAAAAATACTGATAGTAGCAAAATGCTAGCAAAAACGGGGAGACGCTAGTAGTAGCAAAATGGTAGCTAAAAGTAGGAAACAATAATAGTAAAACAAAATGCTAGTTAAAAACTAATTGTACAAAAACGCGAGCTAAAACCTAAATGTACCAAAACACTAGCTTGAAGAGAAGAACAACACAAGACAACTAAAGCAGCACGAGACAAAAAAGATAAAAAACTTCAGTGTATTTTAGTTTTTGTAAATAAGGTGAAATATATGGAAAAGTATAAAAGTTACAGAAACTAAAAGCCATATGATGAATATTTGTATAAACGGCTAAACCAGCCCAAAAGTAGATTTAACCTTTTTAATACAATAATTTAATTTTCTCCCCAAGTTTATATCCCTCAACAGTTTTAAAAAAAAGTGATCCACCTAAACATGTTCACCAGATTAAAGAGATGAATGTGGTAGTTACGTGGTGCCATTTGTAAAGTTACACAGTCAAAAATTTAAAAATTACCACCAATATTTTGTTTTATTTAGCCTTTTATAAGAAAAACAAACAAAAAAAGGGTATATTTTTCAAAGTCAGTTTTTCACCATATGATTCATACATTTATAAATGTCAGTTTATAAACTAAATATTTTACTTACAAACTAAATATTTAATTTGGAACTATGACATTTATAAATGTATGAATAACAGTGAAAATCTGACTAGGGATGAACAATATATCAGCATTAATATCGGTATCGGCTGATATTGGTAATTTTTTAGAATATCGGTATCGGGCCGATATGTAAAACTGGGCCGATACTAATGTCTGATACTGATTTCCTACTTTGTATCTTTGTGTTTTGGGAGCTGGTTGGTTGAGGCACATCTGTTTGATCATGATGATGTTGATGCTGCAGCAGGAATAACTGAAGTACAGAGTCATGTCATCATGTCAGAGGTCTGCTTGTTTATTTACTGTATCAATAAAAGACTAAAGTGTGTTTGTGTTTATATTTGTATAATCAGCCATAACAGCAATAAATATATATTAGATATCGGCTGAAATTTACATATCAGTGCATCCCTAAAATAAACCTGTTTTCTCCCTTATAAAAGTTTAAATAAAACTAAATATTGGTGGTAATTGTTTTGACTGTAACTTTACAAATGGCCGCCCAGAGGCCATCCTGACACAAACTGAGCAGATGGTGTCTGATGTTAGTCTGAAACTGTAGAAGAGGTTTTCTGAGTGAGTGTGGAGCTGCTGACCTTCACTGGAGAAGTACTGCTGCAGCAGCTGCTCCTGAGCTCCAGCAGACAGGCTCAGGATGTTGATGGCTGCTGCGTCCGTCATGGCTCCTCCGAAGCCCCGGAGCCTCTGGTACTTCTGGACGGGGTCCATGGTCAACCTGAGGCCTGACACAGACTCGTCAGGACCCGGACGCCTCCAGAAGCACCACTAACCTCTGATGCTCACCTGGTGCAGAGCCGTTGGTCCGGACCTGGATCTGACCCTGGCGGGCCTCCAGCCTGCTGCCCTCCATGCTGCTCAGGTAGGAGGAGTACTGACCCAGCGGGGGCAGAGGTACCGACCCGATGCTGTCACAGTAGGTGGAGTTACACTCACACACCACAGAGCTGTGGCCGAAGTGTCTGCCAACACACTTCCTGCTTCCTGACAGGAGGGAGGGACACAGCACAGTTACTGAACTCAGTACAAATACTTTGTTGCTCTACTGAAGTAGAATTTATCTGTACTTTGAGTAATTTATTTTCAGCCTACTTTTTACTTCTTACATTTTTAAAAAGACAAGAAGTATAAAGTTGTTACTTTTATTTCATTTCTGCTTGTTTTCATTGCAGCTTGTTGTTGTAAAAAATAAAAACTATCCATATAAACTGAGCCTCCTAGATAGAGTGAATTTAACTGTGGTTGAATGAGAAGTATAAATATATAAAACTCTGATAGTGTATTAGTTTGTACACAAACAAATCATGTCACACTCCAGCAGGACAGAATCATTCAAATAAAAGGACTGTACTTAAGAAGTATTTGTATTTCATGAATTATATTCTTACATTTGGCCGCAGCCCTCAGATAGATTTTTTCAATTAAAAAAAAATTGTTAATTTCATTAAAAGACAACTATATAAAATAAAAAACTAAGAAAACACACAAATCAAAATAAAATGAAAGGTAGCAGAAGAAGAATAAATCTTATAATGTCTGCTGCTTTTATCACCAGAATATGTTCAAATAAAACATAATTTATAAAACAGAATTAAATAAAAATACTAAATAATAATGATTTTCATTTTGGGCAGAGTTGAACAAAGTACCTCAAAGTAATACTTGAGTACAAGTACAAGTATCTTATCATAAAAATTAGGGGTGTAAGAAAATATCGATACACTGAAATATCGTGATATTTCATTTCCCGATACTGTATCGATATTCTAAATCCCTGTATCGATTTTTAATTAAGGTTTAAAATGTCAACTTTCCTGCCAGCCGTTCATTTTTATGTTGTAGTTCAGCCTCTGACCACTAGTTGGCAGCAGTGAGCCAGACATTTGGCTCCTCTACCTCTTGAGGTAGAGGCCATTGTTAAGTGTTGGGTGACCATATTGTAAATTAATATTAAAAACTAAAAGCTGCAAAAAATATATTTTCAAACTATTTGTTGGCAAATTTAGTCTAATAATTGAAAACATGGATGAAATAAGAAACAAATAAAATAAAATACATACAAAGTAGAACACAGCTAAATGTATCAAAAGTTTGTCTATCTAATATTAGAATTTTCTGAGACGATGAATTTTGGTTTTTCATTTTTTCCCCTGTAAGAGGTTTTTATTTAATAGAATTTTTGGACAAAAAAAACCACAATATATCGCCTTGCTTATAGTATCGCAATATATCGGGATATATCGTATCGTGACCCCTCTGTCATGATATGTATCGTATCACCAAATTCTTGCCAATACACAGGCCTAATAAAAATACTTTGGTAAAAGTTAAAGTTTTCTCTAAAAATATTACTTGAGTAAAAGTCCTAAAGTATGTGATATTTTTTGTACTTAAGTATCAAAAGTAAATTTCTGACACAAAATCTA